ATACAGGGTGTTGCGAATAATATTCAGTCACACAAATGGAGATGAGCTATTTGTTTTTCACCTATAAACTACCTGTTCTTTGCTGTTACAACGGTACTTCAGCTCGTCTCCACTTCCTCACCTTGTATTCAGGGGGAAGACAGACAGAGCTTGCAGGAGCTGGAGACCAAGCGCACCGCCAACCGAAAACGGGCTGTGGGCTACATGAAGTTCCTTGGAGAATTGTACAGACTTGGACTGGTGAAGGATTATGTCATCTTTGAGTTTGTCACCGAGTTCCTTGGCACCAAAACCGAAGAAGCGATGGAGTGCTTGTGCTGCCTGATAACCACCGCAGGCTCAATCCTGGACTCTGAGGAGCTCAAGGTATGTACTGCTGCCTGCTGCATCTCTGACGCTTTAATTGGACAAAGGCTCATTGTAGCCACCAGACGAAGTCGGGCAGGTACTGTGGATTCATGCTTGTCGTCTCTGCCACCACCGCCGCTTCCGCATCCGTGGACACTTCCTTGCAGACGCTCTACAGGCTGTAATTTTTGTCTGATTACTTTCATATTTTGGTATGGATGTGTATTATACTTAAGTTATGACAGCTATCGATTTTGGTTGCCATGGCGACAGTATTGGCTGAATAATAGGCAAATTTGTGCTGAAACATAGAGATTTCCTTTTGGACTAAGTACAGGCTGGAGAAGCGGGCTTTCGGGGGCTACACCCATGAGGTCGTTGGCGACCGGACTGTCTAGTTACATTTACATTCACTTTACCCTTTGTATCTACAGCCCGTAATGGACAGAAACTTCAGAGGAATTGAGAGCATCCTTCAGGAGAAAAAGTTGACATCGAGAGTTTGCTTCAAGCTGCAGGATCTGATGGATTTGAGACAGGTAATAGAGCTCTTAGTCTGAGTTTATGGGGTTCAGAAATAGTTCAGATTGGGTCGTCTTCACATTTTATCTCTCCCTGTCCTCCCCTCCTTCTCCCAGGTCAGTATGGCCGTCTCTCTGATCTATTTCAGAATAATTGGGTTCCCAGGAGGGAGGAACAGGGGCCCAAAACCATTCAACAGATCCACCAGGAGGTTGAGAAGGAGAGCCAGTTGGCAACTGAGGAGGGTGTTTCTGAGCAGCTCTTTTCTAAGATGGCAGAGAGCAGGAACATCACCCCTGAGGCAATGAATTTTACCCCCATCAAGCCCTGGCAGTTCAGCAAGACTCATCTGGTGAGATGAAAAAGTATTTTGTACTCTGCTTAGAATAGACTGCTCATGTTAAGATGTCCCAGACTAATGTATCTCTAGCCAGTGTTTTCCCCCCCTGCTTTGTAAAACTTATTAATACCATTATATGCTGTCATATGCTCAGGCTTGATGAAGCTGTTTAGTAGAGCGATGTGTATCATCCCCACTTGCAGTTAGCCGAAAGATGTTGTTTTCCATGCGGATAAATTATCCGTAGAAGGAATGCTCATGAGTTCCTATTCCTTTGCTTACTCTTTTCAGAAAAAATCGGTCCCAAGAGATGAACAAGGGCCAAAACCCATCAGCCGGCCACACAAGGAGACCAAAGTGGACGACCAGCCCGAGACAAGCAAGGTAAAGAAAGCTCATATGTCCCCATGGCTCAACCACTGTCAACTTTATTTGTTCCTGTCAGCTTTAGTTACCTGGTATACAAACTCTCTCACTGGTGATCAGTTAGATAGTGAACTGGAGAATGTGAGGACAATGGCATTTTATTAATATCAACGTCATACTCATTAAACCACTCAGTGACCCGTCATGCCTTACAGACTGCGCATCGTCATCCTCATCAGGATAGAAAAGTGATAGGATAAAGGTTATCACTCAGAATAACTTCAGATAATTTTCTATGACCTTATCGTTTAATGGGAGGACTGTACCTAAACCATATTTGAAGAATGTATGAAAGCATCTGTATGTTTCCACCCATTAATCTGATTTATTCAGGTTTTTCCTTCAGTCTATTGCCTGTCTGCATTTATGGGATAACTGTTCTCCTTCCAGTGCGATTTTTTCACAAAAGGAAATTTACCTGCCTCTTCCCTTGGTTTTAATTATGATAACAACAGACATCAGCTTTTTTCAGAAATATGAACTGGGGAACATCAAATCATGCACCTCAAGGTCTGAGAGCTGCTGGTTTCTCAGTGTCCCTTTACCTGGGAGTCAGGTGTACAACTTGTGCTATCAGGTGCACTTAATTGTGCAATTAAGTAATTAATTAACTTTGAGAAAAGAAAACCAGCGCAAGATTAGGATGTGAGATCTAGATTTGATGATCTCTGGTTTAAACCGTTCTGGAGAGCAGGCATAGTTAAAACAAAAACTACGACAGGGATCATCTAATCGGTCCCTCTAATCCAAATCCAGACCTGGTTTTCTTTACTTAAAAACGTTTAAGTTATAAGTGTTTAAAAGCCGCCCCAAGCCCAGCGAAGATTAGCCGTAGGATTAGTTTAGCTCTGGTTAGGCAGTTAGGGAGCAGAGTTACTGATCAGCGTGCAATTGGTGCCGATTACAGTTCTCCCCGCCTGTCCCTCCCTCATTTCTCTACCTGTTGCTGCCTGTCCTAGTCCGGGTATTAACAATAGACTTGAGTTTACCCTTCTTGTCTTCTGTCTTTCAGGCCTCTGAGAGTCTCGGGTCAGAATTCTCAGAGAAGGACAAGCCCTGCGAAGAGCAGTTGAGGTTGGCTGTGCAGATGGAAACAGAACCAGTTGTTGAAGCTGAGCCCGTAGAAGAATCCGGATCAGAGCATGCTGTGGATCGTGATCCAGAGTTTCCTGTGGTGCCTGAATCTGAGCTGCGGGTTGAATCGGAATCTGAGCCGGTGGTGAAGATTGAGTCGGAGCTGGCTATGGAGTCTGAATCGGACCTGGCTGCAGAATCTGAGCTGGTGGCGGGAATCGATACGGAAGAAGTGACGGAGATTGAATCAGAAACAATCCTGTTGGTAAGACCCTGATTTTATTAGATTCCTCTAGAAGTAGAAAAATTCCTTCCTCTGATTGTATTGCATAAGTTATTGAAGTTGCCACTCTATGCGGTTAGTGTGGAGTTAGTTTCTGGGTAATTATTGTATCTCGAACGTTGAGTCCGGGAAACATTAGATCTGCGATCAACACAAGGGCATAGGTTAAATGTGAGAATTGGTAGGGACACGTATGTGATGCGAACGCGCATAGCGCGCGAGCAGGAAAATTTTTGTAAATCTGAGTGCAGATACTGCCTTTACTGCATGCGGATATTATCCGAATGAGTGTTTCTTTGTTTTTTTAATTAGAGTATGCAAATTGCCTACAAATTTTCATATCAAAGATGCCACATACATAAACTTGCCACAACTTAAACTGACAGCTGCAAACCATCTCAGCGCACGCATGAAACCCGCTCAGATCTATTAACCTGGACATTGATACCAAGTGAGTGGATATATAATTATCTTAGCAAGCCATCTCGCAGTCCTCTCCATTAAGCATCTTAATATGCAGTAACGCAGTTGCAGCCGCGATAAACATCTCAAAATGGACCACCAACTATGAATTGGACAAGCCGCATGTCATGGTTTGGTCCCGCCGGATGCAATCTGCAACCCGGCGGGCACTGGGACCATGTACCCAAAAGTGGAAAAAAGGGACCCACTCGCACAGACTGATATAATTAAATAAAAAACATTTAATTATAATAATAACAAAAATTACAATTAAAATGACAGGGGAGCAGCTGCAACACATGACGGGGCTAAAACACCAGAATGCAGCTGCAACTGCCAATTGGCAGTGCAGCTCTTAAATACTCTTAACTTCACCTCCGCTTCAACGAGCTCCAGGTGTAGCTCGTTGAAGTGGAGGTGAAGACAGCCGGAGGGGGAGGTACTGCAAGGCAAAACCATTACACCGCAAACCAAGCATTAATTGGACTAGATCATGTTAGATTTACGATTACGTGTTTCTTTCATTTCCCCCACTGAGCCAAAGTTGGTTGGGACATTTTGACTTTCAAAGGTTGTATTTGCTGAACATCATGTGACTAACTTTAATGCTTTCCCTATAATTCCACAGAACAAGTCATACTAATGACCTCACCTGAAGCCCTGATACACCTGTATCCTCAACAGCTTGCTCTGTTTCTCTAGCTTGCTGTTGTGGTTCCTGCATATAAAAAAATTAATTAATAATGGCACCTTCGCGGGATTTCTCCATTGAAATTCACCTCATAATCTGACATATCCACCTGGCTTATATTTAGGTACTACAGCTAGCAACCCGATTACTAACCAACACGTGACAGAAACCTGGTTTAGTTTGCTAGTTGAAACTAGCAAACATGTTTAATTAACATTCGTTGACATTATTTTCCGGTAAAAACTAATCTAAGGTAGCTAGCAAGTTTTGACTTTAAGTAACTATCTGTTTCTGACTAGTTAGATCACTTATTCAACCAACATTACACTTGGCATTCAGTTTGGCGAAATGTTAGCAGCATGACTTAACATGGAGCGACTTTCTTTCCCTCACGCTCTCAGACAGTGAAGTTTCCACAAAAGTGATACGTACCTAAGGTAATATCAATGTATGTCATAAGTTGGGCCATGGGAAAAGTGCTATCGTTACACGATGAAGAAAAATCTGTCACAAATGCCAAATTACGGTTCTCTTCTGCGGGTAAGCCATTGCAAACACATGTAATCAAAGCCGGCGATCCAGTTGCATGTCTCAAGCCCCACTTTGGACAAAAATTATTATTCATGACCTGAATAGCGTGGTCAGTTTACTCTTGACCTTTAGCCTTCAGATAGCCCCGCCCTTTCAACCAATCAAATGCTAGAATGCATAAATAGGTTGTCTTGGAGACGTAGCCTCCACAATTGGGTCTTATGTGGCTTGTCTGGAAAGATGATAAGAACGAGTTCGCTGAAATGCTGATAGGGACAATCTGGCTTCCCAAAATATTGGTAGGGACATGTCCCGACCTGGGCGGCACGGTGGTGCAGTGGTTAGCATCGCTGCCTCACAGCAAGAAGGTTGTGGGTTCGGATCCGGCCTGGGGCCTTTCTGTGTGGAGTTTGCATGTTCTCCCCGTGTTCGCGTGGGTTTTCTCCGGGTACTCTGGTTTCCTCCCACAGTCCAAAGACATGCATATCAGGTTAATTGGAGACACTAAATTGCCCAAAGGTATGAGTGTGAAACTGAATGGTGTGTGCGCCCTGCGATGGATTGGCAAGCTGTCCAGAGTGGGTCCCTGCCTTTGCCCGTAGTCGGCTGAGATAGGCTCCAGCTCGCCCCGCAACCCTAGTGAGGAATAAGCGGGTATAGATATGAATGAATGTCCCGACCTTCCATATACAAACCTACGCCCTTGATATTGCATAAGTTATTCATGAAGTTGCCACTCTATGCGGTTAGCGTGGACTTAGTTTCTGGGTAATTATTGTACCTTGAACGTTGCGTCCGCGAAACATTGGATCTGCGACCAACGTGCTGCGTCAGCCATGTTCATTGAGATTGAAACATCTTCCCAGCTAATCGGGACCTTAATATTACAAGGTTCTATCTGCCTCAGAAACACATATGTGATTGAACCTTATAATACTGAGGTCATGTAATGCAAAAAACAGAAAGTAAAAATATAAGGCGTTTCTGTTAGCTTCTGCAGGTTAAGACATTAGCTTTGGACAATACTAGGGCTCAAACTTACTCATGTGGGGATAGGCTTGAGTTTACCCCTCTTGTCTCCTGTCTCTCAGGCCTCTGAGAGTCTCGGGTCAGAATTCTCAGAGCAGGACAAGCCCTGCGAAGAGCAGTTGAGGTTGGCAGTGCAGATGGAAACAGAACCAGCTGTTGAAGCTGAGCCCGCAGAAGAATCCCGCTCAGAGCATGCTGTGGATCGTGATCCAGAGTTTTCTGTGGTGCCTGAATCTGAGCTGCGGGTTGAATCGGAATCTGAGCCGGTGGTGAAGGTTGACTCGGAACTGGCTATGGAGTCTGAGTCGGACCTGGCTGCAGAATCTGAGCTGGTGGCGGGAATCGATTCGGAAGAAGTGAAGGAGATTGAGTCAGAAACAATCCTGTTGGTAAGACCCTGATTTTATCAGATTCCTCCGGAAGTAGAAAAATTCCTTCCTCTGATTGTATTGCATAAGTTATTCATGAGGACAATTCCATGAGAATCTGGACACAGGGCAAGAAAATTCAAATTGCTTTTACTGCATTTTTTATTTGCTCAAGGCAAAACTAGGATATCAGAGGCTCATACTGATGCTGCTTTCTTGGTTTCATTTGTATGTTCCAAGTACCAAACGTTTTTACATTCATGTTATTTTCAGCATCTTGAAGGCACAAAATTTGCTGTAATTGAGAGACAGCCTTGTCCTTCATTAATTGTGATATATCTCCAAACTCAACACATTTAGATAGTTCAAGCCAAGCCCTTTCAAGATATGAAGGCCATTTTCATTGATCCTTCATCATTTTGGGCATAATGGGCCACTAACTTAGCAACATTGAATGTAACGTGAGTCACCAAAAACTAGGCATTTTTAATCTCCAGCCCACATCTCTGTGAGTTAAATCTTCCTCTGCTGTGGGTGTAACCTTTATGTAGGTACCTAAAAAACACAGGGTGTCTGAGCAGCACTGGCCCTATTATTTGGGTGTTATTCAGAGCTGACCTTACCGTGACGTGGGGTACCCACCCTACTGGACTTTCTTAAGCCTCAGTCCATGGACAGTTATGTCAGTGTAATTCTATTACTTGCAGTAGAACCTTCAGAGTGTTGGTTATCAATTGTTTGATTTTCAGTTTTGTATTACTTCTATCTTTCAAGAAATTTTGAATTGAAATGAAGTGATGTTTTTGTGTGTCCTTTTTGCGTAACATGAGTTACCAAGCTGTTGGTGCCTCTAATTCCCACATTTGAAGGGACAGCACTTTTCTTTCCCACTGGTGTATGTATATAGGTGGGATCTACCTATGTGCAGAAAAACACTTGTCACAGGTGACTGACAATGACATGACAGCTGATTGAAAATTGATATTAGCCTTAAAATGTAACGTGAGTTACCATGGAATTGCCCATGAAGTTGCCACTCTGTGCGTTTAGTATAGACTTAGTTTCTGGGTAATTATTGGATCATAAACAAGTCCGGGATACTATGGATCCGCGATCGTCGTGCTGCTTCCGCCATGTCCATAAAGATTGAAACATCTTACCAGCTAATTGTGACCTTAATATTACAAGGTTCTATCTTCCCCAGAAACACAAATGTGATAAAACCTTATAACACTGAGGTCACACAATGTGAAACTTACTCACGTGGGGATAGGCTTGAGTTTACCCTTATTGTCTCCTGTCTCTCAGGCCTCTGAGAGTCTCGGGTCAGAATTCTCAGAGCAGGACAAGCCCTGCGAAGAGCAGTTGAGGTTGGCAGTGCAGATGGAAACAGAACCAGCTGTTGAAGCTGAGCCCGCAGAAGAATCCCGCGCAGAGCATGCTGTGGATCGTGATCCAGAGTTTCCTGTGGTGCCTGAATCTGAGCTTAGGGTTGAACCAGAATCAGAGGCCGAGGTTAAGATTGAGTCGGAGCTGGCTATTGAGTCTGAGTCGGACCTGGCTGCAGAATCTGAGCTGGTGGCGGGAATCGATTCAGAACAAGCGAAGGAGATTGAATCAGAAACAATCCTGTTTGTAAGACCCTGATTTTATCAGATTCCTCCGGAAGTAGAAAAATATCCTTCCTCTGATTGTATTGCATAAGTTATTCATGAAGTTGCCACTCTGCGCGGTTAGAAAAGACTTAGTTTCTGGGTAATTATTGTATCAGAAACAAGTCCGGGATACTATGGATCCGCGATGGTTGCACTGTGTCCGCCGCATCCGTAGAGATTTGCTTGTGAGCGCTTTACGGGCCACAAATTTCAACCAATTTGTTTCATATTTAGCATGGGCCTTGAGTGTGGTACCTCACAAAGCCTACTGACTCTGGGAGCGATTGCTTTTGAGGATCCAAGGATATGCGTCAACCAGCAGGCAACCGACTGCTTAGTTTTTCAAGTCCTCATTCACAATTCATTTATTCGCAGCTTCATTGCTCGCAAGGAATGTCGACCTCTTACTAGTTTCGATTACCTTCTTATTCAGTGATATTTGGTCTTGCAATCGCTTTGCAGATCCCAAACAGGGAAACGGAGGGGGCCGTCCATGATGTCACATTCTGCGTAGATTCGGAGCACCAGATGGCACCAGATCGGACCGAGTTCAATCCAGCTATGGAGCTTGCGAGAGAGGTTCTTGAGGAGTATTTCATGCGCTACTGCACTGCCACTCTGCAGGAAGGTCAGGAGGTGGAGGAGGCACTTGAGTGCTTATGCCACTTACTGTCCACCATCGGCAGAAAAATGGACATTGGTAGAGCAAAGGCACTGTAGATCTTACCAAAAATCCGTGTAAAAAGCCCAAACATAAAGATGCTCACACATATATACATTCTGACCTTCCCTCTTCCCTATGTTTGCAGTGCCTCATAGATAAATGCATGCGCCAATTGGAAGGCATCCTGAAGGAAGGAAAGACCTCCAACAGAATCAGATTGATTATACAGGACATCATGGACCTGAGACAGGTACACTAACCCCTATATTCAGCTCCACCCTTAATCCTCTCAGCTCCATCCTTCATCTTTTCAGCTCTTTCAACATTTCCGTTCTGTCAGCAAATTTGATGGACGATGCAGTTAAGTGCAACAATAACTGAAGTGCTAATTAATAATATAGTGAATGTAATATCTATCTCTGGTTTCCACCTTTCAATCGTCAGCTCTTCAGCAGCACTATATAAATATATTTGAGGAAGTTTATATAACAGATGTCTGCCATTTCTTCCTCATCCAGAATAACTGGGCTCCCAGAAACGGCAACCAAGAATCCAAAGCAACCAGTCAGGTCCACAAAGATGCTGAGCTGGAGAACCAGCAGGAGAGGGATAAAGTTGAACAGCAGCTTGTGCGCAAAATGAGCAATACCCACCATGAACATACTTCAGAACAGCAGCGGACCTGTAAGGAACATGACACCCACAACAGAGAAGTAAAACAGTACCGTGGGGAACACCAAGGCAACAGCAGACCGCAAAGATGGGCGAACAGGGCACACCAAGGCCACAACAGACAACAAAGTGGGAGCAATGAGAGACACCCAGCCCACAAGATACACCGAAGATGGAACTATGGAGAACAAAACAGCTATGGTCAAGACCTAAGACAGAACCGTAGGGAGCATCAAGGTTGTACTCAAGACCAAAGATGGTACCAAGGGGAACATGAAGGCCGTGCTATGGACCAAAGATGGTTCGATGGGGAACATGAAGGCCGTGCTCTGGACCAAAAATTCTACCATTGGGAACACCAAGACCATGCTCAAGATCATCGACTGTACCATGGAGAACATCAAGGCCGTGCTCAAGGCCAAAGATGGGACTATGAGGAACATCAAGGTCGTGCTCAGGACCAGAGATGGTACCATGGGGAACATCAAGGCCATGCTCAAAACCAGAGACAGCACCATGGGGAACACTATTACCAGGGTCAGCATGAAGGATTGCACCATGGGGAACACCACGACCAGGTTCGACACCGAAGATTGCACCATGGGGAACATCAAGGACATGCTCAAGACCAAAGATGGCAACATGGAGAACATCCAGGCCATGCTCAAAACCGGAGACTGCACCATGGGGAACAGTATTACCAGGGTCAGCATGAAGGATTGCACCATGGGAAACACCACGACCATGTTCGACACCTAAGATTGAACCATGGGGAACATCAAGGTCGTGCTCAGGACCAGAGATGGTACCATGGGGAACATCAAGGCCATGCTCAAAACCGGAGACCGCACCATGTGGAACAGTATTACCAGGGCCAGCACGAAGGATTCCACCATGGGGAATACCACGACCAGGTTCGACACCTAAGATTGCACCATGGGGAACATCAAGGCCATGCTCAGGACCAAAGATGGCATCATGGGGAACACCACGGCCGTGTTCAAAACC